CAAGAACCATGCCCAGGGGCTGAGAAGAAAGCTCAGTTGCTACAGCACTAAACTTACAAGCACAAAGACCTGAGTTCAATCCCCAGAACCCACACTTTAAAAAAAACAGAGCATGATGACACGCACTTGAACACTAGTGCTAAGAAAGCAGACACAGGCAGACAAAGACCTATGGGTTCACTGGCTAAAGAACCTAGTCCACTTGGCAAGGCCCAGGCCAGTGAGTGAGAGACCCTGTCTCAAACAAGCAAAAAGAGATGGACTACATCTGAAAAACAATAACGGAGGCTGTCCTCTAGCCTCTACACACACACACACACACACACACACACACACGCACGCACGCACGCACGCACGCACACGCACACGCACACGCACACGCACACGCACACGCACACGCACACGCACACACACCACACAAGCGTATCTTACGTCATTACTTTCCCATCTCTCCTAGAAAAAGGCCAGGTGTACATTTAGATGATGCTGAAGGACAGGAAGATGCAGATTATATTCTTGTAACTATGGCAGCCTCTCAGTCAGTAACAGGTGAGCCCATCCATCAGCCCTAGGCTGTGTTATTTCACAGGCCAGAAAGTATACAAAAGCCCATGAGGACAGGTTCACTCCCCTGCCACAGGCTGTGTGCCCAAGACAGAATCACACCTTCCTCCAGTCCTGTCCAGCTGCTCTGCTCCCCCTAACTCATTCATCTGCTGACTTCAGCCCTGTATGAGAATCTGTAGCATGCCTCTGTTCACCTCGGTCCTAGACTCAATTTTATGAGAGAATTTTTTTTTTTTCAAATGTGGCCAATGTCATTATAAAGGCGCAGGGATGTCAAAGAATGACAGTTTCCAATCAATGCCAAAAGAACATGAATGAGAGACACTTCATCTTTAGTGAGGCACCATTCTGTTTTAGAGTCTCACTCACTACAATTCCAAGTCTATGTGTGTTTCACGGACAGCACAATGCCCTAGAATCCTCATGTTCATGCCAAAGCTGACAGCCTTCATGCCAATCTTCCCATTTACATCCCTGCTTCTGTCAGGAAGGCACCTGGCTTCATATAAGCTCATCTATACTATAACAAATGGTTTTATGCTGAACTTTTTTGTAGCTTTAGAGTTTGTAAATGTATACTTGATCCAATGGCCTAGATCCCGGCTCCCCATCACACTATAAGCTCCATGAAGATAATTATGGTGCTAACTCTATCACTCACTATTACTCTATCTCTTTAGAGACCACCAGCTCCCATTGTCCCTGCTTCCCACCCTCATCCCCTTCCCCTACTGTTCAGCTCATGAGTCGGGGCCTAGTGCTCATGGTTGCTAACCTACTGTTGCACTTTCTGCTTTTCCTAGTTCTCCCTTGCAAGGGAGCATGCACCAGGAAAAAGAAATGCATTCTTTGGACCGTAAAAAAAATCACCCTGTTTTTCCAGTCCATGACTGACTTGCCCCCTGGAGACCAAGAGCTGCTGCTGCTCTTCTCACTTGGCCTCCTCCATCCACCACCACTAAGAGAGAAGGCAAGAGAAGGAACAGCGTTGACTTCTGGGAGCTAATTTTGATTGTCAACCTGACATATATTGGAAGCAGGAATCTCAGTTGAAAAGTTGCCCCCATCAGACATGCCTATAGGCATGTCTGATGGAGGCATTTTCTTGATTGCTAATTGATGGAAAAATACCCAGCCCTCTGTGGGCAGTACCATCCCTAGGCAGATGGGCTTGGGTTATATAAGCAAGCAAGTAGACCCCAAGTCTTGAAGCAAGCCAGTAAGTAGTGTTCTTCTGTGGTCTCTACTTCAGGTCCTACAGTGATCTATGGTAAAATGGAAGGGTATAAACTTAGAAATATGTCTAGAATTATCTACTTCAAGCTCAAGTTTTGCTTTCATGCTAGAATGGGCATCTGGGTGCGCCCATGGCCCTATCAGCTGGGGACAGGCCTGCTTTGTCACTGATCTACAGAATCCCTTCAGGGAAAGCCAGAGGTGGGAAGGCCCTTTCCAAGTCAGTCACTACCATCCTGAGTGAGGCAAACCTCCCTAACCAAAATGTACTGACACTGAGAAGCAGACGGTGATAGGCACACCACCTTTCCTTTCCATCAGGCAATCCTTGCTCCTCAGGCAGGATTCACATGCACACTAGACTGGGATCCATGACAAAGACCACTCCAAGTGGCCAGGAAAGGAATAAGGCACACAAACTTCATGGACACCAAACAATGTGATACTACCGACAGGAAGTCAGAAGTGACACAAACAAGAACCAGGAAGACAGACAAGTGGGCAGACTTCACTCTCCACCTACAGAGAACCTATGCTTTAAACGCTCGCTGACCCCATCACTTCAGCACAGAGGCAGCATTGTCAGCCAGCCCTGGATTTAAGCCTGGCTCTGTCTCCTACTGCTTGGTGAACCTGAACAAGTTACCTAACTTTTCTTAGCTTCAATTTCTTCACTTATAAAATGGAGGTACATACTTGATAGGATTTGGCAAGGATTCATTATGGTAAGGTGTAGAAACTGCTGGATACAGCACCCAGAAACTAAAGCCCTCAATAAGTAGTAGCTAATTCTTTGTTCAAAGCCCAAAATGATTCAGCTGCCTGAAAGACCCACAAGCTCCAGGGGAGAGGAGAAGTTGTGACTGGCCTGTCCCTTAGAAGGCTCATCTTTCCCTAACACAGCAAAGAAGTAAATGCCAGACATTTCCCCAAAAAAAAACGATGCTTCTGGAATGTGGATTTCTCAGTTGAAACCCAGACAACATGTAGGTCTAGCTATCTATCTGGCTCTCTCTCTCTCTCTCTCTCTCTCTCTCTCTCTCTCTCTCTCTCTTTCTCTCTCTCCCTTCTCTTCTCTCAAGCCCAATACTCAATCACAACCTCAGAGAAGTACAAGAGTCATGACAACATGGATGGATCCAAAGGCTCGTCCCTGTGCATGTGGACAGCGACTGCTGTCCATCACACTGCCACTAACCCTACACGTACAACTCCTGGCAGGATGGTCTTCTAGAAGCCCCAGGCTCACAAATCCCACAAGGAAGCAGGCTAGGAACAGAAAGGGCTCCATGGAAACCACCCTCAAAGGGGCTGCAGTATCTAAGCAGGAAGTCCCATTCTGGGAAGGGGCAGTTCACCGAATCTGGTTTTCATTGTTTGGGTTTTTGTTGATTGTTTTTTGTTTGTTTGTTTGGAGCTGCAGCTCAAACCCAGGGCCTTGACCATGTTCAGGAAACACGCTACTATTGATTTACATCCCTTGCCCAGAAGTATGTATTTTCAAATTGATTTTTTTTTCCACACAGAATTGAAAAGAAGTCCTAGAATCTGAGTCAGAACTGTTCCAAATAGGAAGGCTATAAGACATGACGCAAATGCAATGCGTGTTATCCATACCTCTGACCATGCGTTCAGTTGTATGCCCATCATTCATCTCTACCTGTATAAACAGTCTCTGTCCAGTTAGCTCATACACAACCTCAAAAGTGCCCAGACTTAGACAGTAAGTAGTATAACAATCTCATACTCCAAAGTAGCAAAGGCATCTCCCTGGCCAGAGGTAAAAGACTTACAGAAAGCAATAAAACATAAGGCCATCTTCTTCTGGGCACTGGAGACAGGAACAATCCTACAAGAACCACACTTCAGCAAGAGAGGGAGCTCTATTTTCTAGCAGTTTCTACTGGGAACAGATGACAAAGTTCCCTTCAACATCTTACACCCCACCTTCCAACCCCAGTGCAGGAAGACCCTCTTCTTCTGGTTCTCACAATAAACTAGTGTTCTTATTTCCGTATTAGAAATATCTCTTCCTTTCATGAAAACAATTCTCCGGTGTCAGGTTTCCCAGCCTCCCCTTAGGACTAGGATATTCTGCCATCCCCCAGAGGATCTCCATAACATAATGTGAGGATGGCGTCCTTATGACACGATGTGATTCTCCTGCCCCAAGAATAAGAGTCAACGTTCCAACACGCTGACCTGGGAATGCTTGACTGTTCCCAGGTCTGGGTGATCCACCGACCTACTCAGCCTGAAACACTGGCTCTGACCTGTCACAGTCACAGATATGTCAAAGATCCCCACCTCAGATCCTTACCTTCCCCTCCCCCAAATCTACACACACCTTGGACAAGAGGCCAGACCTTGGTCCCCACCTGAAGGAGGAAGCCTAGATGGGGGAGATGGGGGGAAAGTGTCTGCCATCATTCTCTCTAGATCACCAACATAAAAGGCACGGAGCACGAGTGTTCTGCCCCTGAAAAGCATTCTGTTCAGGGAGGCATCCAAATCCTGTCAATAAAAAGCAAGTCACTCTAGCCTGGTCTCCTCCTGGTATTCTCCACCCAAGTCCCCCTCTCAGGAAAGGACCACATGTCTGCCCCAACCAGCAGCTCCAGACACCCAGGCCGCTCTACGCCAGTCCAGAGTCACCTCCAAAAAGCACATGTAGCCTCCTGCATAGAAACTTCACTGGAAGCTCAGCCCCTTGCTGAACACTTTCTCAAGAGTCCCCCACAAAACTTGCCAGTATTGGGGACGGTGGAGCTGCTTTTGTCTAAGAGCCATGGAAGGGCTTTGAGAGGCTCTGGGGCTAGTGAAAATCCCCAGGCCCTCATCAGCCACGAGTGGGGCTCCATTTCTGTGGCAACAGGCGAGACTCCCTGGCTGTGGGGGTGAGAAATGTAAGCCAAACGCCACCCCTAGGACCCCACCAAGGGGCATGCGATTCGCTCCCAGGACATCCTAACAGGGTACTGTCCCGGCTGGGGCAATCGCTGGAGAAGTTGGAAATGGAAAGGACGAGATGCAGAAGAAGAGCTGGTGAGGAGCCTTCCAAGACGGTCTGGCCCAGATCCCAGCCTCCGAGGTCCACGCACCCCAACAGGTAGCAGCAGCGGGGGTTTTGCACTGCCCGGCTTGAGGCCACCCTGACACAGCCCCATCCTCGGCTGCAAACACCCAGCCCCACTCACCTTGAATTAATGCAGAGTCCCGCGCTCGGCTGAAGGAGGGTGTGCTAGCAATCCCCAGGCATCATTGAATTCTTTTAAAAGAGCAAAAGGGTGGGGGAAGGGGGACGGAGGGAGGGAGGGAGAGGGAGGGAGGAAAGAGAGGTAGTGAAATTGAAGGGGAAAGAAGGTAAAGTCTGCAGAAAGAGGCGCAGGGGAGGGAAAGAAACGGAAAACAAAATTAATAAATGAGAAAAGAGACAGTTCGGGGGACGGAGGGAGGAAAAAAAAATCTGTCTCCTGCCCACACAGTGCAAAAGAAATTTCTGGCAATCAGGAAGACTCTCTCACACACTTTCCCCTTCAGAGGGGGGCAGCTGGGGAAATAAATAACAAAGGAGAAGAGAAGACGGGAGGGTATCCAAACGGAGAGGAAATCTCTCTGTCCAGGCAGCGCAGCCCCAGAGAGCCGTGTGGAGCAGGCAGGAGGCGGGCAAGAGAACACGGGAGCGCGCAGAGGCTGCGGGAGGGGCAGGGGGGCAGCGCAAGGCTCGGTTTATCCACCGATCTGGGTAGTAACCAGGCTGGGGTCCAGAAAATTAGGTCAGGGTTTCTGCAAAAAAAAAAGTTCGCTGACCTCAAACTTCCGTGATTTCCACTGAAGCTCCGGATCTCCCCAGGCAGTTCCTCCTCCGACCCCGGCTCTCTGCTCCCCCTGCGCTAGACCTCAACAGAATCCTAGCCACTGACCTCACATGGGGAGGAAAAGTGATCAGAAGAGCATTCACCACATCTGAAGAGAAATAAAAGCCACTTGGGGCTTCTGGAGTCAAGAGTGAGTAGTGGGAGAGGGCACGGTCCCTGAGCCCAGCACTGCCCAAGAAAGGGGACTCCAACCCCGGGAAGGAACCCCTCTGCAGCGTTCCCTGAGGCTCTCCAGAGCCCAGCTGAGAACCCTAAGGGAAGCCAACCTGTTCCCAAGGACTGCCTTAAAAATTAGTGAGTCAAGCTGGGGCTTCCACGGCCTGCTAGACTTGATCTCTGGGGTTTCCCCTCTCCCGTTTCTCTGGCTCTCAGCCTGTTTTTCCCAGAACACTGAATATGTCTGCAAGAGTCATGTGGGCAAGTATTCCTTCCATCGCCATCAACTGATTCCAACAGAGAAAAGGGAGAGGCAGTCGGATGGAAGGAACTGGAAGTGGGTGGAGGGAGGCTACCACCCGTCCCTCACCACGCTCACTCCCTAAGCTTGGCCCTGGCCATTCCTCCGAAGGTTTCCTTGAGGTTTTCGAAGTGAAAGGGACAGTCAGCCTGCTTCACTCTGAGTTTCCCATGACTGGTAACAGGGACCCTCTCTACTCAACTTTGCCAACTCCACACCCTACTGGCCTTCAGCCTGACTCGGGAAGAGGCTGGAAAACACCGCATGGAAGGAGACAGAATAGTCAGGAGGCCCACAGCAGCAACTCTTTCCTCTTAGTCCAGTGGGAGATGGAATTGAAAGTCAAGGGCTGTGCATCCTGCTTGCTCCCGTTTTACTGCCCATGCCTCCCAAACAGGAAAGTCTGATTGGGAGGTTTGCCTAGCGAGCGGTCAGATGATGGATCAGATCGGCTGGGTCAGATGATGGATAAACTTCTCACCAAGTCCCAAAAGAACTTAGTCTAGATTTTCAGTAAACTGAGTCACTAGCCCCAACATGAAGCAAACAAAGCTCGGTTAGGTATTAGTGGGGGAAAATGGGGCTATGTATCAGTTTCTCAGAAGCTGGAAACAGTTCTGTAAATAAACTTGAGAGAGAGAGAGAGAGAGAGAGAGAGAGAGAGAGAGAGAGAGAGAGAGAGAGTTTAAACATGAAAATGCCTCCTGAGGGCTGCCAAGATGGCTTGGAGAGTAAAGACGCTTGCCACCAAACCTGACAATCTGAGTTCAACCCCCAACCCACATGTTAAAGAGAACTAATTCCAGAAAGTTGTCCTCTGACATGTGCATGTGGCATGTGCACCCTCACGTATACAAAAATAAGTAAATAATGAAATGTAATTTTTACTTTAAAATGCCTCCAGACCCCCTCTTATGCAGGAAAGTCTTTGGTTGTAGAAGTAACTGTTTCTCCCTGGGGAGAAGCAGGATAAAGTCAAGGAGAGGTCCTCCCACTTCAGAGAATCAATCAGGAAAGGCGAGGCCCTCCCTTGGATCAACTTCAGAACCTACTGGAGTCTACAGGAAGGAAAATGATACTGGGTATCCTTGCCCCTGCCCACAGCATAGACACACACTGGCATAATGCAGTCACGGATGCCTTCCTCCATAAACAGGGCATTTACACCACAATTTTTGAGTTTTCTTTTTCTTTTCTTTTTTTTTTTTTTTTTAACTGAAAGTTTCTGGAACTAGACTAACAGAAGGCGGATGGTTCACTGGCTTGGAATCTCCTCCAGAGAAGAGCATCCACACTCACCCCCTCTACCATCCAAACAAACAACTACCATGCCCACAAACAAGATTCTCCTTGACAGCCCCTTCCAACACTTGGGAGAGTGCCACTGACCTGATGGCCATGGCAGATCCCCCCTGTGCCTGTCCACTGTGGCAGCACAGTCCTGATGGCCAAGGCCAAGCCTCTGGACACACTTGCTATTTTATTTCTTGTGTCTTTGAATACAAGTAATTGAACAATTTTAACAATATGCTGTCCTTTCAGACACAAAGAAAACATCATTTTGATTCCTGTCCCATTTGACTGAGCTGTGGCTGTTGCTGTAAGGCAGAGGAGGTGGGGAAGGAGGGAGTGAGAAAGTAGACTGGGAGGCAGGAATCCACCTCAGCAGACACACACACACACACACACACACACACACACACACACACACACACACCTCCAAGCCTCTAGGGCCCCCAGCAGGGGAAAGGGCCAGGTGACTGACACTCCTTCTCCAAGTCTTTATGCAGGCAGAAGCACCTTGCAGCCCTGACTTAGACCTATGCCTGACACTGTACTGCCTAATGGGACTTTACTCCATACTGGGGCCCTGGCTTCAAAGAAAAGACCCTGCTTTAATAATTCAGCCGGCTTGAATGCCATTTAGTATCCATAGCAACCAGTTCCCTGACATCTAGTTGTAGGCAGGATGTGGCTGGAAGGGGGGAAAAGAGGAAGGGAAGGAGGAAAAGGCAGAAAAGACAGGAAAAGAAAACCAGGTCAGATTTGGTCTCAGCTTCCCCTCCTTGTCCTGATCCTGACCGCGTGAAGCCTGTGGCTCTCCCTCCATGCCTTTTCCTCACTCTGACTTGGCTCCTTCCCACCTGGCCTCTGCCCTTCCCGTCTCCTCTACTAGAAACAGGAGATCCAGATTCCTGACTCAGCATTCCAACCCAGCACCTTTGCTTTTTCTTGTCTCCCTTTCCTTTAAATAAGGGAGCTATGTCTCCTGCCATCATTACCATGCATGATTCTATGGTCCTCTCCCTGTCCCTCCACCTCACAGCCTTTCATCTCTGTCCAGGTGTTTCTAGTGCTCTCCATCTCTTAGACTTGGAACCTGTGTTCTTGTTCCCTATCTGCCAACCTACCTACCTACCTACCTATCATCTATCTATCTATCTATCTATCTATCTATCTATCTATCTATCTACCTACCTACCTACCTATCTACCTTACTATCTATCTACCTTACTATCTATCTACCTATCTGCCTATTTATTGTCTGTTTCACCTATAAAGTCATTTTAAACTAATATTTTGAACTAAGATTCTACTTCCCCTTGTGAAAAGCATACTGTCGCTCCAGGATGGTCCTTCCTCCTCCTGCAGGTTACATACCAGACAGCAGCTCTTCTCAGAAGCCTCCAAGTCCCTGAGGTCAGGATCGGCACTCCACTTGTAAGCTCCCACAGCCCAGGCTAACCCCTGCTATGCCTTGTCTCTGTATAGCAATTGCCTGCTCCTCTGTTGTCCCTCCAGCCGGCCGATGAGGACATGAAGGGCAGAATGGTGCCTTCCTCGCTGCTTCTTGGGAGGCACTTAGGAGATGCTGGGTGAAAGGATAAACGGTCTACAACCTCAGGCTTCTGAATCACTGCTTGGTAAAGACTTGGGACACATCCATAAAGGCACAGGGAAGGGAAGGGTAGGGGGGGCTAACTGAGTACTATAATGGACACAGAAACAAGAAGACCTCCTCTTCCTCCCCAGACTGTTCTGAGAGGATGAGGAGCAAAGAGCGGGGAGCTTGGTGTAAAAGATCCAGAACGGGCTCAGCAGAAATGGAGAGACAAGGACAAGGGGGTGGTTCCCCTCAGCCCATGTCAAGGCTACTCTGGCACCATTTGGGAGAACTCTAGTGGTCACCACACACTTGGTGATTAAAAAAAAAACAAAAAACAAAAAACAAAAAAAAACCCTTCCACATAGCAGTGCTTCAAACTGCCTGGGACCAATCACCTCAACGTTCTCTCCTGGCCCCATTCTCCCTGGGAACAGGGCCACAAGGGAAGCAGACGGAGGCTATAATGTGGCTGCCAGAAGGACATGGGCCAGGTGGTTAGTCCTTTGGAACTGATGGAAGATGCTAATGTAGATTTCTGTCTTCGAGGAAGCAGCTAGTTTAAAAGTAAAGAAAATATTCTGTGGGTAGGCATTTTTTTTAATGGATAAACAAGACCTATGCCTTTAAAAATATTTGGCTATAAATGTGCATGAAAGGCAAGAATTCAGGACGGGGAGATTTCTCCCCAATGTTTAGTAATGAAGTCTTTCATTCATCCATCACAGGAAGGGTAAGTCTCTCTCTCACACACACACACACACACACACACACACACACACACTCATACTTATATGCACAGAGCAGAGCCCCGGTTAAATTGAGACCGACTCCAGCCAGAGACCAGGTTTTACATGGTGTGCAGCCCGCACCCGTAAACCAGAAAGCCAAGCACTCCTGGCTTGGAGCCCTAGCCCTCACATAGCTTTTTCCCCAAATAATCCTCTAATCCAGACGGAGCTGCCTACCCTCAAAGATCTGCCAAGTGACACACAATCTTCTTGATCTCTCGCACAGACTGAGTGACACGTTTCATTAGCAGGCTCTCGTGAGTTATCCTCACCAGCTCAGCCTCACATGCAACCTCCACATATCCCTCATCCAATGGACAGTCTAGTCATAAAAAGCAAGGAGGTTTAAGACAGACAGCTAGAGAACAAAAGGAAAAAAAAAACAGCACATACCTTTTAAATGACACACCTTTGTAGAAACGATAATCTTATACCTGAGTTTACATCTAGACTCATTGTTTGGGAAGTTCAAGGTAGATCTAGGCTGACTTTCCTATCCCAGAGAAATCATTCCTCCCAACTGGCGGAAAAAAAAAAAAATCCAATTCCTGTTTGCTTTTTGTGCAATTGAAACCTGATCTAAGGGGGAAATGTAAGTTTATAACCTTCCTATATGTTCAAATCA